TCACAGGTTCATGTCCAGCTGAGAGCTTTTGACTACAGCTGTCGTATGCATTAGTAACGGCGAAACACGTAAAATAATGGTTCTACGTGACGTAATCGGGAAAATATGGGAAACGTTTGGTGTTCCTTCCTCTTCCTTCCTCTTCCCTTTTTCTGAAACAGTTTTTCTGTTAGTTAATGCTGTTTCATGAAGGAAACATGCGTGTGGCTCCATGAATGCAGAAGTTACAGCTTGTTCCTCCCTCTCTGAATGTTCCCTTCTTCTGCCGTGTGCCCTCTCATCTTTTGAGGAAGAGCTGCTGCAGGAATGGCAGCATTAATGGGATGGATGAGTTTTGTCCAGGCGTGATTTTTCAGAGTTCTTTGTGCAGTTATTTCACTTTTTCTTCTTCTACGCTGGATGGTAATTCCGTCCTATTTATTGTTCTTGATAGGTCCTTCTTACACAGGTGAAGGTGTAGAATGGGGTCTCAGAGAAGAAAAAAAAAGAAACCCAAAATCAGAAAACAAAAGAAAACAAACGAGAAAATAATAATAATTTAAAAAGTAGACAAACGTGTTTAGTATTTCAGACCGTGTCTTCTTTTCGTCTCCCATTTTCCCAAAGAGAGGTGACTAGACCTGATTGATGGCGTTAACAGGAGAATGCTAAACTAAGAAATTTAGTCTCTCAGCCACTTTTTGCAGCAGTGGTTGTGTCTGCCTGTTTAGAAGAGGAGGGGTGTAGTCAGCCTGAGAACATGTGTAAAACGTGCAGAAGATAATCAAAACGATAGCAATTACGCACTTGACTAAAGTCCATGTGCACATTTACGCATAGGTTAGGGTGTGCAGCCATCCTTGTCTTCTGCCGTCCTACAGTATGTTGTTGAGAAGGTGTCCTACCAACATGAAGATTCAAGAATTACGTGAATGCATTGCTGATAAGCATCAGTCTCTTACACCGTGATTTCTGGGAAAAACAAAGTTCCTGCCGCTTGCGTTAATGAGCCTGAATACCTCTTGTTCTCCGGGGCGGGGTGGGTCTGAATATTACCTTTTCTATAGCAGAGCCTCTAATCTTTCGCTCTCGTTGTACCAGTGTTTCAACCATGACAGCTACAATAGTTCCTGATGGGGACTGTGTTTTGGACAAATGGGATAAGACTCGTAATAATCTACACGTCATATTACGAAAAATTATTTAACTTTACATCTCCTGCCATTAGCAAGTCAATTTTTCGCGAGCGGCAGAAATAACACGGATCGTTAAAGAAAAGAAAGGCTTAGTGAAAAGTCAGTGCATTAAATCCCCGGTGTCCATTTGAGGGAGGATCATTGTTGGTGTGTTCAATTGGTCGGCTGCGGGGAATTAATGTTGCTGTAACAACGCACTTTTATCTGTAAAAAGGCTGAGGAAAACGTCATTCAAACACGACAGCTACAAAACGCTGTGGAAGTGATGGTGGAGATTGTGCTGTTTGATTAACGGGATAAGACTATTATCCCATTATTATATCCCTGTATAATATACGTCATATTAAGAAAAACGAATAAATGTATCACCATGACAAAACCAAGTTTCCCCTGCGATAAAAATACCACGCTCGCGGGAGGCGTGTTGTTTATTTGTGCTCGAGATGGGCTGGAGAAAAGGCAAGGCAGGAGAGCACCGGTGGACGGGAAGCGATGTCTCCGTGGCGAGTGTCCCTTCCCGGCGAGCTGCCCGTGGGAAAGGCAGGCGGGCAGCGGTGTGTGGGTGCAGTGCCGGGAGGAGGCTGCGGGCGCCGCTGTTGACCGAGGAGGAGCGAGAGGAAGGCCGGAGCGCTGCCGGCAGCCCCGCCCGCTGCGGCCCGGCTCGCTCGCTCGCTGTCTGTCTGGTCGGGCGGGCGGTGTGCGAGCGTCCCCGCGGTGCGGAGCCGTGCTGCAGCGAGGCGGAGGGGACGGGGGCAGCG